AGTCCCAATCTAGTGCTGGAGGCTGGAGGATTCCTGGAGAGCCGATGGTCTTCAGTGCATGATGGAAGCCCAAAGAAGCTGGATTCTGATATGCATGACACAGTCAACAGTGGTGGCAACAGCAGTAGGCAAAAAGCCTTTTTCTCAGTGCTCTTCTCTGAGTTGCCACCAGAAAGTGCTGCCCACAGTTAGGGTGGGTCTTCCCATCTCAAAGAACCTGATCAGGAAAATTCCTTACAGGTCTGCTCAGTAGCTTGCCTTTTGGTTGTTTCCAGATCCAGTCAAGGTGATAACAGCTTAAAGCCAGTTTCTGGTCATTTCAGTATCAATGCCATGTCAGTGTTGCTATCTGTCAGGTGTTGTTTCTTGTTCAGTTGACATTTTATTGGTTGTTGGTTTGAAATGTGCTCTCTTCATTGTATCTTGGACATTTAGGTTATTATGTTATTATCTGAGTCACGTTTAAATCTTCTATTTTAGCAAGCGTCCACTGACAGTACACTAGTACATCACTTGGTTACTTCCAGGGCAGGGTGGCAGTCCAAAAGTCCAAGTGTCTCAAATTTTTAGACTAAGGCTAACAGGCTGGTGGTGCTTGCTTTTTGTCTTTGTGGGTGGATTCTTTTCTGTGATAGCAGGTTTTTGAATGGGTTTCTTTTTTTCTATAGCCATTGGTGTTTCTGGTGCACTGGCTTCTTCAGTACCCATTCTACAACATGGAGGAAGCAAAAGAAAACCCAGAGTACTCATATCCAGATTGTTCTTTTGTTCTTAACATTGCAAAGAAGTTCTCTGTCTTCTGGGTTTTAGTTATACTTTGTGTAGGAATAAGTGCATCTGTTTCATCTTGTCTGGGGCTAGAAGTCAGCCAACCTAAAGCCTTTGAAAAAAATGTTTTTGAGACAGGTTGCTGCTGTGTGATCCATGTTGGCTTCAAACTCACTATGTAGCCCCGTCTGGCTTCAAACTTGTGATCCTCCTGTCCCAACCTCCCAAGTGGGTTCATCAGCATGTACTATCACACCCATCTTGAAAACTGGTTTTCACTAAGTTAATTTATACTGAAATTTGACATGATTGGTTTTTGGGTAAATAACCTGTACTAGGGGGAGTTCTAAAGATTCTTAGAAAGGCTTCACAACATCTAGGAAGTTAGCTTTTCCTTAATGCTTACTATAAATTTAAATTTTTTAAAATTATATTTTTGTTTTGTGTGTGAGAGCATGAAGCAGGGGATGCAGGCCACAGCATGTGTGTGGAGGTCAGAGGACAACTTTCAGGAAGGAGTTGGTTTTCTCCTTTTACTATATGGGTCCCAGGGATTGAACTCAGGTCATTGGGCTTTGAAGCAGGTGCTTTTACCCACTAAGCCATCTTGACAACCCTTATTATGACTTTTTATAGATTATGTATATTTCTAGTAGATTCTAATAATATATTTCTTATAGATTATGTATGTTTCTAATCATTTTGAAACATCTTCTTCTCTAAACTCTGCATCAGTTGTTCTATTATCCATCAGTTGATGGCTAGCTTTACCACATTAGAAAATGCCAAATTTCATACACATCTTGTATCAAAGGAAAAGCCCCCAAATCAAGAAGCTGGTGGCAAAATCAGGCATGTTCAGGGAAGTATGGACATACAGAGTTGATAAATGGGATCTAAAGAAACTAAAACGCTTCTGTATAGCAAAGAACATCATCATTCTTGCGAAGAAGCAACCTACAGAATGGGAAAAAGTCTTTACCAGCTATTTATCTGACAGAGGGTTGGTGTCTAGAATATACAGAGAACTCAAAAAACTAAGCACCAAGAAAACAAACAATCCAATTAAAATTGGAGCATGGGACTAAACAGTTCTCAAAAGACAAATACAAATGTCTGAGAAATCTTTTTTTTTATGTTCAACATCCTGAGTCATCGGGGACATGCAAATTAAAACTACTGAGAGCTGGATGTGGTGGTGCATGCCTTTAATTCCAGCACCATGGAGGCAGAGACATCTGTGATATGGAGCCCAACCTTGTCTACATAGTGAGTTCTAGGCCAGCTGGGGCTATAGGAAGACCCTGTCTAAAAAAAAAAAAACTGTGAGATCTTATGTCAGAATGGCTAAGATTAAAAATAAAATGACAAGAAATGTTGGCATGGGAAGATGAGGAAAAGGAAACACTTAACTGTTGGTGGGAGTGTAAACTAGTACAGCCATTGTGGAAATCAGTGTGGAGATTCCTCAAAAAGCTAGAAATAGATCTACCGTATGACCCAGCTGTACTATATTCATGGGCATATTCCCAAAGGACTCTATATCGCACTACAGAGATACCTGTTCATTCATGTTCATTGCTGCTCTATTCACAATAGCCAGAAAATGGAAACATCCTAGATGTCCATCTACTGATGAATGGATAAGAAAAATGTGGTACACTTGCATAATGGAATATTATTCGGCTGTTAAAAACAAAATTATGAAATTCTGCATACACGAGGTACAATTACACACATGCAGGCAAAACACTCATAAATAAAGATAAACAAAATAAGTGTTTTTTAAAAATTATGAAATTCATAGGTAAATGTATAAAACTGGAAACTAACATCCTTAGTGAGGTAATCAAGACCCAGAAAGACAAATGCTGCATGTTTTCTCTCATATGTGGATGCTACATTTGAATATTTAGATATGTATCTTTAAATTGGAGTTCCCATAGAAGGCAGGAAACTAGTAAGGGGCCATGAGGGTGGGGTCAAGGGAAGGGGATTGGATGCAAGTGGTATGAAGGGGGTAAGGGGAATAATGGAACAGGAAGAGTAAATAGTGTGAGGGATGGTAGGGCGGCAGGGCAGAGGAGTGAGTGTGAGGTGGGATAAAGAACACTAAAGAGCTTTGAAAATGCTATATGGAAACCCACTGTCATAGAAGCACCCTAAAATATATGTGTATGTAAAAGGAGTTTAAATGAAGTTACCCTATAGTGTGGGGTGTGCATGTGAAACAATACCTCCCCCAGACACCACAGACTATCAAATAAAAATTCCAGTGCCCGCTGCGGGTTGCCTCTTTCTGAGTTGTTATTCAATGGGGTCCCATAGACCTCCCCAAACATTTCAAGCTATTGCTATTGCTTTTGGTTACTGTCTAGAACATCATGGTAAGGCCCTACTGCTGAAGACACCACATACCTGAGCCATAAAACATGGAGAAATCAACCTGATACTAACGTGGAAGCTTCACTGCTACTGACTAGCTTTCAAAGTGCTAGAAGGCTCTGTGCATGCTATCAGGGGAAAATGTCATCAGTGGTCTTATTTAGCTGTGAACCCTGGGAGGTACAATAACCATAAACCTGACAAGCTATGCCTGCTGGTGCAATAGCGGCATGATGTTATGGGAGCAAACAGCCACTTAATGATTGGTGTTAAAGCCTGCTCCAAAAGGTGGAATGCATGCTTGGTACTGTTAGCTGAGTCAAAAACCTGTGACTGGCTAGGGAAAACCTAGTACTATTATTCTGAGAATGAGCATAATAATCTTCCCCCTAAGTTCTTATCTGTATATCCATAGATTAGTGTCTCTCAATCCTCATCAGAGAAGCTTCTTTTTGCAGTGCAAACTGGTCAACATGCAGAGAATAAAAGACTGTGGGGTGCTCAACTCTAAATGGGACATCTATACCACACTCCTCACCCCAAGGGGTCATGGATCATCACAGAAGAGGGGATGGAAAGATTGTAAGCACCAAAGGGAGTAGAAGTCTATAGTGAAACAATATTTTCCAGACATGGCAGTGCAGTTGCACACATGAGCTCATAGTGGTTGGGACTGCATAATAAGACTTACATGAAAGGCAAGGCAGCCAAAATCCAGTGTGAATTGCCATCCCTATCTGAGGAGCTATTGGCAACTGATGGCTGCTGGGAGAAGGAGAGTCAGTTATCCTCAGGGATGCAGCTCCTCAGAGGCTACCCATGCTCCAGCAGATGGGCCTGCACCCATGCACATATAGACAGCACTAAATGGGACTCAGTGTTTATGATAAAAAAGCACACGAAGTTGGGAGGGAAAAGTGATGAAGGGAAGAGAGGAGGGATTGGAGGGTGGATTTGATCCAAACAGATTATATGCATGGATGAATATTACATATTTTTTAAAGGCAAAAAGAGAAACTGGTGGCAGAACTAGCACAAACATAGACACAGTTGGCCCACCCTCCACTGCTCACACACAGTGGCCCAAGCAATGTGTTTATGTGTATGTATGTATTGCCTGCATATATGTAAGTGCATCCATGTCATGAAATGCCTGCAGAGGCCAGAAGAAGGAATCAGATTCCCTGGAACTGGAGTTAGGAACAACTGTTAGCCACCATGTGGGTGCTGGTACCCGAACCCAGGTTTTCTGCAAGAGCAGCCAGTGCTCTTAACCACTGAGCAATCTCTTCAACCCCTCTTTTAAAGGAAAATTTATTATTTTTTCTTTCCAATATGTTTAAGTGAAAGATGAAAACACTTCAGATGCCATAATGCAAACAGCTGGACATGTTGCCTATAGACACAGTTTCAGCCTTACTGAACAGCTGATTATTGTCAGTGTGATTTTGCACATACAAGCCAGTATCCCGTGAATAATGGATGACTACATGGCTGGTCCCTGAAGATGCAGCGCTAACCCAGCTCCTCCCTGTCTCCTACCCGGTAGCCCTCAGAAAGCTCTTTAAAACAGGCATCCCACAGTTGTAGCTGCATAAAGCACAGCCATATTTGTAGAGGGAGCCCCATCATCTTTCTGTCTTCATCCTCACCGAATACCTCATCACATTTTCTCCTTGTCTGTCTTCACAAGCCAGAAATAATAGGTGCTGATTGTGTATGCATTTCCAACACTGGGTGATATAATGTAGATAGGGAAAACTATGGTTTAAATCATCATGGTTCAACAGACTTTCTGTCTGTGGATTTCTGTGAAGTTCAAGCATCTTTTGTTCTTTCCCTTCCAGGTTAGTCACCATGAACCGGTGCACTCAGCATGCTATACCAACACTGGAGAGGCCACATGGTGGAGGCAATCTATCACACTGTCAGAAACTGGGGCTGATTTGGTACCAACTGCTGTGCAATTCTGCCGGGCAGGAACATCACAGACTGTTAAATAATGACAGACATATTGGCTGAGATGAAGTTTCCAGACAGGAAGTGACAGTGCAATGTGGATATTTATGGCCATAAAATAGGAAGAGTTTTAGTTCCCTGATCCTGCCTCTGCTGGAGCCATTTCAACAAGGCCTCCTCATAACAAAGAAGAGATGTGATCTGTTTCACTTCACATTGGCAGATATCTGGACAATACCATCAATGTGAATAAGGACCAAGTACAGTCATGTCTATCTTGATTAAATTGCTTCTTAAATAAAAGGTCTGGGTGGTATTGTTTTCAACTGAACATATGTAGCTCTCCTTCAAAGAGCCTGCCTCCTAAAGAACCAATTTCTTAATTTTTCTCCCTAGGATATGAAAGCTGTAATGAACGGAAACAATTTTTTTTACTTTCAAATTGTTCTATCTAGTTGTTTCTAATTATGCAATTATAATGACTAGCACTATGCTAATGACACAATTTATTTTGTTTTTCTAAGCAGATTTTAGGATGTGGCTCAATTGCATGAATCCAACAAAAGCTATTCTACAGAAAAGGAATACAAGGACCATGAAGGAAACGCTATATATTGGGTTCAAGAATTAAAAAGAAATTTTTTTTAACTTTATATGTATGAACGTATTGCCTGCATGTAGGTAAGTGCACCCATGTCATGCAAGGTCCACAGAGGCCAGAAGAGGGCATCAGATCCCCTGGAACTGGAGTTACAATGTCAAGATTAGCACTTATATCTCACAAATTCTTGTTGCCAATCCCTGGTGATTGGTTATTCAGGATTCTGCACTGAAAGCCTGTGAGACTCTTCTGGGCCAGCAGGAATTCCAGGAAAAGGCCAAGTTTAAACTATTTAACTCTAAAAATCTCAAAAATGTTATCATGTTTTCCATTCCCCAGTGCCATCAATATGCTGCCAAGGCTGATCTCAAACTTGTGATTCTCCTGCCTCAGCCTCCTGGGTTTTGGGTTACAGGTGTGTATCACTACACTCACATAATACCATATTCTAAAGTTGAAGAATTTCTTTTTTTTTTTTTTTTGGTCTTTTTGAGACAGAGTCTTCCTGTAGCCCCAGCCTGGAACTCACTATGGTGCTAGAACTAAAGGCATGCACCACCACACCTGGCAAAAGTTGAATTTTTTTTCAAATTTTATTTTTATTTTATGTGTATGAGTGTTATGCCTGCATGTAGGTAAGAGCACCCGTGTAGTGCAATGCCCGTGGAGGACAGAAGAGGTTATTGGATCCCCTGGAACTGGAGTTACGGACAGTTGTTAGCTGCCATGTGGGTGCTGGGATTCGAACCCAGGTCTTCTGAAAGAACAGTCAGTGTTCTTAACCACTGAGCCATCTCTCCAGCCTAAAAGTTGAATTTTTTAAAGCATCTAAATTGGGGGTTGGCAGAAAGTTTCTTAGTAAAGGGTCAAATAGTAAATAGTTCAGGTTTTTTCACAAGTCCTTAGCTCTATCACTGTTGGATAAAGCAACTACAAACAGCATGCTAATCAATGAGTGTAGTAACTGCCAATAAAACTTTATTTACAAACACAGGCAATAGGCTGGATTTGCTTTAGAGTCCAAGTGTAGCTTGCCAACTCTGGGTTGAATGAATTCCCCTGGAGAGAAATAATTCCCCTAAAGAAGTAACTTCTCAGTGAGGAAAAGAAACTTGGGAGAAACAGGATCCCACTGTTGCCATAGAATAGATGGGACTTTAAAAATACAAAACAAGATTAGCTTAGCCATTTCATCTTTTTATTTTGAATTTTGTAAAAAAAAAAGCATTGAGAAAAAATGTTATCAGTAAAAGACAGGAAAACACATGGCTAGCTGTACAATAGCAATCTAAACATCTCTACAAAGGCAAACATTACGTAAAAGGTGAAAGGGAAGATAGCATTTTGGGGGCCTACTACAGTATTCTTTATTGCACATAAAGGTTGTGGATAATTCCAAGTCTTTAATTTTCACAGTTATAATACACTTTGATGACAACATTTTCTATAAAATTCTCCTCAAATACAGTATGTTAGCTCTCTATAAAAGTTCCCCAGAAAATTTCATCATTCCTATGTTAAATTCACCCTATTTTACTTTAAAAAATTGCTTTCCAGCTAGTCAATGAATCTTGATCTCTTCTCATTTACTCATTTTAGTGGGCATAGTAAACCATTTCAAAAAATGATAAGATGGACTTCAGGTAAAAACAAAAAGATAACCTAGGAGGAATTGGCCCTACTCTGAAGAAATGCTTGAAATGAGTGACTTCAGTGCTATTTCCACATCCCTGGATTTAATACCCACAAAACTGAAAAGCACCCTTCTGCTCCTCAAGGCCCACAAATGGAATATTCACAAAGCCAGCCCCCAAACATCCTTGCAGTTCATCCCAGTACACTAGGATGATAACTTTTTCAAAGTGCTTTGGACAGCACATGTTCAGTGCTTCATGCTGTTCATAAGTTCTCTTCTGTCTCAGTTTCTCCAGCACATATAGGCCCAGACAAATTTCCAATTGGCCAAGAGTTGAGCGTGGATTAGGACATTTGGAAATTCTGTTAATGCCTTTTTAAAAGTGGCTATGAGGACAAGATGGCCTCTGCTCTCATATCTGCTTCAGGCCTCGGAAGGCAGCATAGCAGACAGACCCTCCTCACACTCCCCAAGGCTTCAGTGGCCCAAACCTGGCTGCCCATGGCTTCCATCTAAGCCACAGTTATAGCATACTCTGCTTATGAAAATAAAATTAATGTCAAAAACTTTGGTCTTGCTCTATACAAGTTTTGTTAGTATTCAGTGATAAGATGTATGTCCTAATTTGAAAAATGTCTATGAAAACTGAAAGGGGAAAGAAAGTTTGCTTTTAAGGTTCTATTTTAAAAGGACTGTAAGAGTCTGCTTGCTTTTCTGGTTAGCCATTAATGAGTACTGGCTCTTATAACATCTCTTTATGGGTCATTCAAACTAGGTTTTAAAAAGGGAATGGTCTTTTTAGGTATTAGAGTGGTAAAAGCAGCATTCAGATGTGTTGTTTCTAAGGTCTCTTGGCCACTAGATTCACTCAACTTACTGCATCAGAATGCAACAGCTGACACTAGCAAGCCAGAATCTCACTTAAAAAACAGTACAGATCTAACTCAATAACACAAGAGCACGAACTCAAACTAAATCAACATCAAAAGGCAGGCATGAGACTTGTCAAGTGCCTAAGTTCCCCACTTGATGTGGAATGGGAAATTCTTTAACTATCAGCTCATTAGCTGCAGCCCTAGCAGCCCTCCGTACAGATGACATTTTACCTAGGATGATGCTGCCAGCTCTGGGGTACATTTAGAATTCACGTCGGTTACAAGAGGATGATCTGCACCTCTGGGTGGCTTGCTCAACTGTCCTCCCATGTCAGCGGTGTTTCTGCACTTGAGAATCACTGGTTCACACTAAATATCCGACAAGATCACATTCAGGTCCACTGAGGACAAAGGACGGGAGAGGCTGGGGGGAGTAATGTGAAGCAGACCTTCGTTTTGGAAAGAACTGTTGATTCTTTGCCCTAACTGAGCTGAAATGTTCACACATCGCTGAAATAACTTTTGATTGTTTTTTTTCCTAACAAGATCTCATTTGTCTACCAAACCACAAGGCACTTGGGAGTCTAGAGGATACAACTCAAGGAGCTCTTTGCAGTTTGCTTGATTAGACATTTCATGTCACAGTGTAGTTTTTAGCTCCAAGGCATCACTGGTCACTCTAGGAAGCGCCCTGGATGATATGAAGCAACCTTCATATGGTTGTTTCCCAGAAAGAAATGCAATCTTCTTTAAATGTCAGAATTCCTTCTCTAAGAAAGTTTAGGCTTTCTAGGTGGTTCCCACAAGGAGTGTTAGGAAAAGAAATGACAAGGGTTTATATCTTCTGTCAGGGTAATACCAAAGCTGAAATGTGACAGCAGAGTGACCACAACCTTCCCCTGTGCTGCTGGCAGTAAACTGGCCCACCTCATTCTATGGAAAGAGCCACAGGAACAAACAAGAACATTTGACCACAAAAGGGACTATTAATTGAATTCTATGTTGATTTTAAAAGACAGCTTCCCAGAATCCTTCATGTTTGACTAGTCAGCAGCTTGGTCAAAGACAAAACCCTCCTTTTGCCCACCCACAAGTGGGAATGGAGATGACAAGTTCAAAATTCCCCCTCTCACACACCTTAGTAGCCCATCTCTCCCCTTAAAGGCTGTAGGTTTTCATTTGGAGCCTGGCTTTGAGTTCTGCAAAGACTGCCATGAAAGTTTTACAATGGCTCAGTCTGTATTAGAAATCAACACTTGTTTGTTCCTTAGGACTAACAATTACAAAATAAGCAATGCTTAATTCAATAGGCCAGTCCTTTAACTATGGTTTAAAACATGGTCCACTGTATAAACTTTATCCAAAAGGCTCTAAACCCTGCTGCTCATGAGGAATCCTGGAAGTTACAAAACAAAACATGCATTCCAGATCCCACCCTAAAGCCAGGGAAGCCAAATCTTAATGGTGATCCATTTGCACTGTTTTTTTTTTTTTTTTCAGAGCTTGGGAATGGAACTCAGGGCCTTGACATGCTAGGCAACTGCTCTTCTGCTAAGCCAAACCTCCAACCTTGAATTGTTTTAAACTGGCCAGGCAAATCTTATATGCAGTTAGAGTTCAGAACTTCTGCTCTAGACTACCCCAGTCTACAGAGCTATGTTTGGAAGATGACTTGGGATTACTTTCTCAGAGAAACCTGACTCAGTCGCATCAAGACTCAGCAATTTCAGTATGGTTTTTATAAATATCTGGCTGTAAAATGGACAGTTTCTGGGCTTTGCAACACACTGTTTTTTGATGCAGCCTAGGTACAACACTTCTCAGTGTGGAACCATTTCAACAAGTGGATTCACCTTCCTAGGACTCCTAGGAAGTTTGGGGTAGTTTCCACATTTTGCAAACAAAAATTAGGATCATATGTCAAATAATTTACTTTGATGCATTGAATATCCATTTACTTATATTGTACTAGGTCAGAATAACAAAGACTGTAAGACCCTTTAGGAGGAAACACAACAGGCTATGAATTAATCTAAGACTAGGCTGAGAAACATGCTGGTTAACTTTCTTCTCTACCAGAATAATTTCTTATAATATGCTGAAAACTTCCTAGAAACCCACAAGGGCAGCAAAGCCATGAAGTGAAGATAAGGTGTATCCTACCTGGTTGGCACTTCCTCCCCAGGGCCATCAGCAGGGCTTTCCTATCCATTTTTCCCCTCCAAAATTAAGCAAACAGCAGAAGAGAGAAACTAAGGCTTTATAAAGACCCAACCAAAGAAGAAATCAGCCTAATCTACCATCTCTTAAAAAAACCAATCTGGGCACAATGGCACATGTCTGTATGTCCAGCTACTTTAGAGGCTAATGCAGGACTGTAAGTTCAAGGCCAGCCTAGGACAACACATCGAAGACACTGCACCTCAAAAAAAAAAAAAAACATGCAAACCTCACCTTATTACTGAGATAACTGTTTAAAGGAGCACCCTCATTGCTGGCTCTGAGTCTGAGTACATGTAACCATCAGCCTCCTGCAAGCTTGGCTACTGCCTTCCACAACCTAACCCCACAACCTGAGGAGACCACTAAGAAAGCTCTTGCTCTGTGAGGGGACACAGGTGTTCTGAGTCCTTTGCTAGCTTAGTACTCTGAAGCCTCATGGGATTGTTTAGCTTTTTTCCAGTTTTGAAAGTCCATGGATTAGTATAAAAATCAAAATGGACTTTATTGTAGATAGAAAGAGGAAAAATATCATTCAGTTATAATAAATCGATCTATATGAAACTGCCATTTTGTTTATTAAAAAGTTTAATATTAGCAATTTCATATGGCTCTAACTCATTAATAAGTTGTTTTTATTTGTAGAAACTATCAAACCAAACACAGAAAGTTGTAAAGCAATGTCTTACTTGAAAATAACCATTAGCAGAGCACAGTTGTGTGCTTATAATCTCAGCTTGAGAAGTCGAGACAGGAGGATGACATCAGTCCAGGAACTCAAGCCTAGACAGGGAAACATAGTGAGACCCTGGGGGAAAATTAATCACTAAAAATGTGAGTTAACTGGGACAGTGAGATGAACAGAAGCACACAAAGATTCATTCTCTCTCTGCCCTTGATTATGGATATGACTAGTTGCTTCAAGTTCATGCCTCTGTGACTTCCCTACAATGATGAAATGTTACCTGGAATTGTGAGCCAAATAAATATTTTCTCCCTTAAAAATGCAAGTTAAGCTAGGCATGGGGGTACAGGCCTGTAATCCCAGCACTCAGGAGGCTGAGGCAGGAGGACTGCCTGAGGCAGGAGGACTGCAAGTTCAAAACCAACCTAGGCTACATAGTGAGACTTTATCTAAAAAAAAGGAATTCAAAAGGTTAAATGGGTGATTTCATTATGGATGTGCTGATCTTATAGGGCATTAGTTTGTGTACACTAAACAGAAAAACACATACATATTCTCAGTCCATTTAGAAATCAGGCTACCAAAAATGCTAGTACTATAAGACACAGGAGGAAAGTTTTCAAGAGTTCTCTCAGTACTTTACCTACTTCAAGTGTGCGCAAGTAGAACAGCTTATATAGAAAGAATTCAAACTAAAAACCTAAGTTTCAAGCCATGTCCATGGTAAGCTGATGTAGCAGCCTCCCCACACCAAGAAAATGACCCCTCTCTCTGATGACACCTGGATTCCTAATCTTATAGGAAACACAGCTTTCTACTGGGTTGAATAATGCTTAATGATCCATTGCTTCACTGCTGATTCCTCATGTGGCCACTGAGATTGCATGCATAATTAGTTCAACATTCCTAATTCTATCCTAGTCTTAAGACTCCTATGGACCATAGCTGCTCTATTCCTGGTAGAGCAGGAGTCCACGGTGGAGGAGGAGCAAACAGCATCCGTGTGTGCTGTGGCCTACAGTACCTATGGTGCCTGTGCTGCTGGTGAGGCTGCAGGAGACAGGCGGCAATGACTTGCCACAGCTCTGGGGCCTTGATAGAGATGCACTCATAGAAGGAGACAGCAGCTATTTCCATGCTAACAAGTTCCTGTGGGACTCTGGCTCTGGAAATTGGATAAATGTTATGACTGCAGAAATCAAAATGACCTTTCATTATACCTCAGAAATAAAAATCAAATGCTACTATGTCCTCCAACACCTTTATCACAGTCTGTACAGAATACCAATGTTATTCTATATCTTGATCAGGAGTTGAGCACTTTCAGTTCTCCTTCATTACATGAAGGATCCAAAAGTTTTAAAATAGTGATAAATATAGTTGCCATTTTAAATTGTATGAACGAGCTTTGGTGTAAGAACCTTGTGGCCTAGGAAAGTATAGAAACACAGAATGTGAAACTGGGATCCAACATGAGCCATCTACAGACGTGCAGCACGAAACTTGAGGAGCCACTGCAATCCTCCAGGACAGAAGTGTTGCGCTTCAGGAGAGATGGGGAGGGGAAGAGTGAGAACAGGAACAAGCTACTGAAAAAGGAGAAAGATGAGGTACAAAAATGAGAAAACATCACTGCAAATCAAGCTATTCATTGGTACAATAAGACAAGGGGTGAAAACAATAAAGGACCATCTACATCAACTTGTTATGAATTTGAAGGATCAAAAATAGCCACAGCCATCTGAAATTCTGTGAGGAGAACTGATGGAAAAATAGGCTCCTGGAGAACTAGCAGAACAGAAGTAAGGAAAAGATTCTCTTGAATATCGTCAGTAACAAATTCTAATGGAAAATGCTAAATTTAAGAAGGTACATCAGCTAATGAAAAAAGAAATCATTTGTATTCTTTCTTCACTCTCCAAAAGAAGCCTAGAGAAAGAACAGATGATACCCCTGATGGTGAAGATGCTGGGAGCTGAGCAGACAGCCTGTGGGATCTTTCCTGTGAAACTGTTTAAGATAGCAGTTAAAACAGCGTGAGAAAACAGTGAAGAATATTGAAGTCATGTAGAAAACTTGATAACCAAGTTTCAAGTCACACTTAGATTTTAATGATGAAGATACAATCTTATGAGAAGACTACAAACAAGGAACTCAAGTTATAAGTTCAGCAAAGTAAAAAATAACTATAACAAGCACGACTTTACAGCAGCAACTCATTAGTATGTGTCACAACAACCCCACTTCATTATAAAAAAGAATTTTTGGAAAGAGGATGGTTTACAGAAGCTGGTACTGGCCTGGCATTGAAGAGAAAGGCATTCCAAGAAGAAAGAGCCAATTGGTTTTAACCAACAGTTTTTAAAATATGATCACCTTTGACCACCAGAACTCAGATAATATACTTTTCCGTGGATTCTTGGGAAGTTCTGATCTAGACAAGTGGAAAGCACAGTCACCAATCATGGCAAAGGCAAGACTCAGAGTGTGTCTGATGTGTCTCTACTTTGCACATCTAATCTGACTAAACGTCTTCCTGTTTCACTATTTCAGACGTTTGCTAGACACGATTCTATGTATCTGAACATAACCCAGTATACAACATAACTCCTGAAGAAAGTAAACCAAATCAGGCTGGAAGAGAATGTGCAACTCCAAAGTGGAGTGTGGCATTAAGACCTGGACCACAGGAAGTTTGCCGCAGCGGATGCTCCTTGACCTACACAAAGTCTCTTGCACAAAGAGATGGCTCAGCCTATACTCTTAAACTGGAATTATCAAAATTTACATCTAAGTCAAGACAAGATGCTGACATAAAGCCAGTCATCTAATAATTTAAGATGATTTCATTAGTTTCTTTGGACGATCCTGTATTCCCTCAAGGAGCAGAAATGTTAAGTCATTTAAAAGAATACAAAAGCTGTGGCTATGTACTTTTAGTAATAGAAGTTTGTATTGAAACAAACACGCCAGAAGGTTTTCATCTTAAAGGTATTGAAAACAGTACCTTTAGGAAACCAGGAAGTGTTGAATTTTTTGTCCCAAAGATAGTTGCCATTGGAAGCTCAGCCTATACTTGAACACATACATAGATTTTTAACAAACTCAGTTCTAGAGTGTGATTTTAGAATTACATTTTTGATTGTTTTTAAAGTGAAACATAACATAAAAATAAAGACTTCTTTTTTTTCTTTGCAGGTTATTTTTTCACATTGAAATTTCTTTCCTCTAACTATTGGTCTATTGCCTCTTCAGTTTCTTGCTGCCTTCTCTTCCCTAGGTAAGAACAATGCAGATACCTCAGTCATTACTAATTTTGCAGGCAGCTGGCTCCCATGGTAGCCCTCAAAAGTTGAATGATTGCTGCAATGGTATCATTAGCAGTTCTAAACACCTCCTGTCCTCAAAGTAATTAAAAAACAATGTAACACTATTTGCCTTTGGTTTTAAATATTTCAGTAACTCTTATGGAGATTTCCAGAGAAGGAACTAGACTTCTTTTCTCCATATTGAAATGCTCTTGGATACACTTTCTCCCCCCACCCCCCTTTTTGGCAGTGCTGGGGATACAACCCAGGGTCTTGTACATGGTAGACAAGCACTCTTTCACTGTACCACTGAACTAATGCCCCAGCCAATGGCTACACTTTCTTCAGCATATCCTACCAGTGTGTGTCGTCACAACTGCTATAGCTACCTATTCTAATCTTCAGTCGAGGAGAAACACAGGTGTAGAACAGCCAGGACTCCTGAAAAAGGAGGATGCAATTGTGCAGCCTTCACAGCCAGAGGCTCCACTCAAACAGCTTTTTTTTCTTTTTTTCTTTTGTCCAGTATAACATCAGCTCCCAACACCCTTGGAACTCTGATTTCAATTGCCTTTCTTCATGGTCTTTATCTAGTGTGTCTTCCTGACTTGACGTTCCTCGAGAAAGCTGCTGGCACTAGAGTATACAGGTCAAGCCCTGTATCTGCCCCACCTTAATCAGATGCTGCAGGTGGATGAATTAAGAGAACACTAAAGCAAGCTATTATTTTGTTTAACTCTGAAACAGCGAACTACTATGTGAAAAATTGGGAATAATTCTGCGTTTGTCTTAATTTAGAGACAGATTCACCATCTGAGTCTTAGGTTAAATTCTGAGTAGTAAGATAGCTTCAGACCCCAATAAAACAACAGCATTAGTTTTATCCACTCAATGCCACACCTCAAACACACTGGGACATGCAGTCATCCTCACTCCCTGGGCGTCTCCCCCATCCTTCAGGGTTTAGGGGAAAGTCATGCATTTTCCTGCAGTGGAAACACAAGGGGGGTGCCCCGGCTGGAAACCTTCTGGTCTCCTGTTTCCAGGTCTCGCTCAAGCACTTCCTCCGAGCTGCTCTTTGTTCTTCTGCCGCCCTCAAGGTTTGTAGAGGCTGTGTGGGAGCCTGAGGAGCCATTTGCTGTCACTGTGCTATCTCCATAGGTCAAGGTGAGGTCACCTTCGGTTAGGATGAAATCAGAGTCATCTTCTCTCAGTGGCTCTTGGTTCTGAAAAGTACAACCAACAAAAGGGGAGGATGAGATCTTTTCAGGACTGGTGTGGACCCCATCCCAAATCCTCATAGCAGAAAACTAAGGATTTGGAGGCTGGAAAGATGTGGTTAAGAGCACTTGCTGCTCTTACAGAGGTCTGGGGTTTGGTCCCCAGCACCCACACTGGGGCAGGGGGCTCATAATTGCCTAAAACTCTAGTACAGGGGGTCCAACGCCCTCTTCTGGCCTCTGCACACATGTGGCTCACATACATATACTCAGGTAAACACGTATCTGCATAACATTTTTAAAATCTTAAAAAGAAAACTAAAGATTTTACGAAACTTTCTTGTCTACACCTCTGGTATAGTTGCTTGATGGAAACTGTAGAGTGCCTTTCAATTAAGGCACTGTTGCCTGACTGAGGACTTAGAATACCAGAAACGGATTTTATTTCAGAAGTGTAACCGCTCAGGGGTTAATGTCCAAGGGAAGAAGAGAGGCCAACTGCATTTTCAGCTTCCCCACCTACAAAGCAATAAAGCAACTGGAAAGGTTATGGGAAAACACCCGAAGTAGGTTCCAGTTCTCTCCTATCTGGGCAGATCTTCTGGGTGGGCCTCCTCCCTATTTACATGTGTCGAAGCCTTTGTTCTAGTAGCTGTGGTGGGAAGAGGACAGGTCCTGATTAGGATTTTCTCTCAATATTCTCTCTACTATCTCCACAGGTAGCTGCCAGTCAATATCCTTCCCCATGTTCTTAAGTATATGAGGTGAATGATTGACAGGGAGAGTGCATTTTATTGAGCATTTATTAAATGCCAGCTGATAAAGTCACATAAGCTTTCACTGGATCCTTACCCTTTCCCCACGCAGGGCATGAACCCTTGGTCACAGCAGGAACCTAAGCTGTGAGAATCTCTGGAATGTGTCTAAGATTTGTCCAGCTGCCTTTGTGCTGCCTCCAGCCTGCTTTGATCCACATGAAGGACTGGAATGGCATTTCACAGTAAGTGACAGTTACAGCAAAATAGATAAGACTAAACAAGGCAGGCATTAACAAGGTCATGGCCACTTGAAGATACCAGATGGTGGGGAGAGTGTCAGGAGACAGTATGAGGTGAGAAAAAAAAATCTGCCATTCTCCAATGAGTTTGCCAAGCACAACAAGGGAACCATGACCTTGCTCTACCACCATGCTGAGGCCTGTCCAACATGGTGAAGGTCTTTCTCAAATGGCAAATACAGTGTCAAGATACCCCAGAAAATCTGCTCTGCTTGCTCCTTTCCCATCAGCTCTTTAAAAGTCACGTGAAATTCTATGTCTTCTAGACATCAGGACCTCCTCTGTCCAGCAACCCCCTTACCCTGTCATGCTGCCCAAGGCTATGGGCACATTCCACCACATTGGCATGTGGATTCATCTAAATGATAAACCACCAAAGGGCAATGCCGCTTTCTCCTCTCCTGAGCTCCTTCCTCAGTGGTGTTTACCTCACACTGGTTGAACTTCCTCAGTCCAAAACTCACAAATCTAAATTGCTCCACAGTCCAAAACTTTTTGAGCACTGCTCTTTCCACCTTTTCATGGTTTATATTAATTGTACAAAATAAGTTTTATTATGACACTATGATATAACTCCACAAGTCTCATGATTCAATGTACACAAACTTTGTTTCATGTACAAAATTACTATAAATAGTATTTAAAATTAACTTTGGGCTATGTGTACAAGGTATGTATGAGACATAAATTAGCTTCCTGTTTAGACATGGGTCCCACTCCATATGTCATATATATGCACATACCTAAAAATATGAAAACAACTGGAAATCTACAACACTTTTAGTCGGGAGCACTTTGGATAAGGTCTACAGGAGTGGCTAATCAATGCACACAGTTAGGAGGATTCTGGGTTGAGTCTCTCTCACTTCTCTCCCAGTACCTCCATCTCTGTGCATGCTTCCTGCACTGTCAGTGACATCACCTTTTCCACATAGAGTTCATAACATGCCTCCACCAAACCAGTGCCCAGGCATTTTGAATGCAGGGTGTGGGTACACAATTCCTCCAGTGTGCTACCTCCAATCCCCTCCAGAATGGGGCAGGCTGCAAATGCAGCATGAAATACGAATCCTATATGGGAGCAGTTTGAAAACTTACTCTAAACTCCCAAGTTTCTCTTCCTTAGTATATAGAAAGTCCTGAAATTGTTCATCTAGTCTATAATCATTTTTAAAAAACAAATCATAGCACATGCCCCATTCAACTTTCCAGTGAGCCTTCCATTCCTCTCTTTAGCATATCCCAGTTCTTCCATTCAGCGTGTGCCAGGCAACGTTTTTGTTCATTTCTGTTAGAGCTTGTAACTTCTAATTTTCAGGGAGATGGCCCACTTGGTATGTATTTATCTGCCTCAAGGTTTAGAGCACAAAGGGAGAGAGAGGAGCAGAGAGACTAAGTGAGCATGAGAGGGTAGGTAATTCTGCACGCGAAGGAAAGTCCACCATCATACTTGCACAAGAACTCTAGTGCAGTCTGTTCTGATTCCTTGTGGAAGGGCACAGGGCCACAATTCACTGGCTGAGGAAAACTAAACTGGATGCTGATTCATTTTATTAATGCAATTATGTCACTAGCTCACGCGGTGCCCAAAGGGAGCTTCATTCCGAAGTAAGAACATTGCCGAGCCCAGTGGAAAATGGCTCCTAAATTAAGATGCAATAAGTGGTGTATGCAGGTGATGAATCCTGCCTACTTCCATGTACTCTAGATGATAGGACCAAGACAAGTTTGCATAAGACAAAGGCCCGCATAGTTAAATAACCAGGTGCTCAATGCAGGCTGTTCGAATATCCCTGAAATCTCCTGCAAGCAAGTGCAGGTATGTATATATCACAGATGATCAGAGGTCACTCTCCTATGTGGAAGAATACCAGGTAGAGTGAAAATAATGAAAGATGAACATCTCAGAACCCTACAAATAAACTTGACCAAGTTCAACATATCCTATGGGTGATGGGGAAGAACCACACAACAGGTGTCAAATGGCTATGAGACCTACCCAGTCTGCACCTCTCACTTGGCACTAACTGTGGGAAGCCCCTCAACATCTCTCAGCTCTGGGTCTCTCAATTGATAATACTGCAAAGGCTTTGTTTCTGCTCTCTCAGCACCAGGTCTTGCCATGTCTGAAGGTGGCTGAGATGCTGGGTAGAATAACCTCAGCCCAAAGGGACAGCAAAAGCACTTAACAGTGGCTCTTGCTAGTAGTTCAAGATTGTATGGCTGTGCAGAGCCCAGAGCCTAAACATTATTCCCAAAGCAAACTTTGAGTAGTCTCTCAGAGTGGTGAGAGACACACTTTAAATGTACATGACTATAAGAATGTGTGAGTTTATGCTGTGACCAGAGTTGTCCACGCATATCCAAAATCTACAAGCAGGGAACACACTAAGCCTCAGATTAAAGAAGGTTTTTTTAAGGTGGCTGATACTCTGGGTCTGAATGCCTCATCACAACTTTTTTTCCTTTCTTCCCCCAGTGCTGGAGATGGAACTCAGGATCTTGTCCATGCTAGGCAGGCATTCTACTACCAAGTGATATCCTAGCTCCACTGCCTATTTTCTTATATTTTGAAATATTCTATTCCTGGGCAAAGAAGAAATTTCATTTGTATATGGGGAAGATGAGCTGGGAGTGGTGGAAGGCTCAAATGTCTTTAAGAGAAGTAGGCATGGATGTGCTCTCTTCATAGTTCGGAAAAATGCAAAGAAAAGACTGAGGTAGAGCAAACTCTTACAAGGCACAACCTGCTCTGCCAAAGCAGCAGTCCATCTGGGCTTAAAGGTGTAAAGTTCTGTCACCTTTGTGCATGTGTGTGTGTGTGTGTGTGTGTGTGTGTGTGTGTTGTGTACATGTGTGTATATGTGCAGGTGGATGCATGTACATGCGGCTACATCTGGAGGCCAGAGGTCAAGTTGGGCATCTTTAATCATTCTCCACTCCTCACCCCCATACATACAGGGTCTCACTATGTAGCTCTGGGTTGTCTGAAACTTGCTATGCAGACCAGAATGGCCTTAAACTCATAGAGATATGCCTGGCTCTGTCTCGGGAGTACTGGGATTAGAGGTGTGAGCTACCACATCTAATCCTCTGCCTTATTTTTTTCAGACAGAGTCTCTCACTGGGCCTGGAGCTCACTTACTGGCTAGATTATTTGGCCAATGGAGCTCCAGGGATCTACCTTTCTCTGCCTGTACCAGGGCTGGTATTACAGACATACACTACCATGCTCAGCTTTTTATGTAGGTGCTTGGTATTTGAACTCAGTTCCTTATGCTTGTGTAGCAGGTACTCTCTGACTGACCCATTTCCCCAGTCTCTCTATCATCTTTTCAATGGTTCTCTCTATTGGGCTCTCCCACTGCACAACAGCACTGGGTTCCAGATGCAGTGACTTGGCAGCTAAGAAATGGCATCCTCCCATCTTGGGTCCTCTTATCTGCTTTCCTAATGCTCCCTTGTTAGCTATGGGATCCATATCCTTTTATCCTATGTCCCCTTTCTGAATGTGTTCCACCTTTCCTGATTCCATTGGCCTGCCCATTGTTAGAACTTAACTGCTGAGGGCCCTTTTCCTTCAGACCCAAGCTTGGCCTTCTGCTTTCTCCTCATTGATCAAGTCAGCTATATATCATTGGCTACTTATTTGAAAATCTATCTTAGGGTCTCAGCTCTTCCCATTATTAATTGTGGGACCGTGGACAGCCCGCATTATCCCTGAGATGTACTCTCCTTAACTGTATCACTGCAGCACTTGTTTCTTCACAGTGTGCGGAGGGAATGAAATGAGCTTTTGGGAGCTGTGAGGCTGTACACAAATCTAAGAAGCTTTGTTCTCTTGGGGGAAAGAGCTCCATTGTCTTGGTGGGAAAGAGCTGGGGAAGGAGGAAGCATGGTCCTCCCTTCTACTCCTTTCATGTAGACAGCTGCCTGTTCCTTCCACCTCTGCCCTGAAACCTACATCAGGAACTCAAGTTCAGTCCTAAGTCTGAGACATCCACAGCAGGGGCATTCTTTTCCTAACTGCGATGACTCCATTTCTGCTACCAGAAAATGGGGAGACAGGACCTAACCACACTGACATAACTTACAAAAGGAACCTTTACATTTGTGAACTGCTTTGTATTTCATGGTGTATCTTGATGAACCTTATTACTAGGCGCATAGTACAGATAAAAATAAAACTTCACTGGCCTGTGAGGGCTTGAATTATAATCTCATCACTATGATTCCAACCACAGTTGCCCATGTTGGAGAGCCCCATAACCCTAAAAGGTTTCTCTGTTACTATGCAAAACAGATGAACACGTGTAGACACACACACACACAAATATGTATGTATATACATTGCATATTTCTGATCATCCTATTAGGCAAATAAAATCTGCACATTTTGATGTTGGAGTATGACGGATTTCTTCCTAGGGAAGAGACTATATGGAAGCAGGAATGCAGTACCAATATGCTGCACTTACGTCGTACACCTGGGGACTGGTCAGGCATTGAGCTAGCAAGCCACACCAGGCTGGGAGAGTGGTGGTTAGCGGGGGTCCACTATGGGTGAGAATGGGCTTCAAGTAACTTTTGAAAGGGAATTAAGGAAAATGACTGCATCAAAAACACACACAAAACAGAATGTATTTTTTTAAATCTCAAAGAGTAATAAATTGTCTGACAGTCTGCCCACAAAGCCCCCTCCCATTTTTGCAGTACAATACAGGAAATCCTTTCAACCTGCAACCATAGGAATAGAAGATGAAGATAAGCCCCAGCAGTATTAAGTGAACATGCAGTAGTTTCTAATATTCAGTTTAAAAGAATGCTGAATTAATTCTAAGGCATGATGGTGCATGTCTGGAATCCCAGCACTTGGGAGGATAAGGCAGGAAGATGAGTTTAAAGCCATCTGGGTGGCATTGCGAGCTTGTGACAAATAATAAAACCCCCAAACAAATCAACAAAACCCCATACCAACCAACCAACCAGAAAGAACACTAGATACATTAGAACAATTCTTACATCTCTAATTTGGTTCCAAATGGCATTTCAGCTTTTGATACCACTCAAGTCTTAGCCCCTTGGAGTTGGGGGTTATAGTCCCCAGGTTCCCTCTGCCCTTGTCCTTTGTCTTTTAGTTTTCTGGTTTTTCTCTTTGGAAGCCTTAACTGTTCCCTCTGTCCATCCTCCTTATATACTTGGTAAGGCCTCGTACTCTGAAGACAGAAGCCTTTCATAATGACAGGGTCTCAATGTGTAACCCTGGCTGGCCTGGAACTCGCTATGTAGAGCAAACTGGCCTAGAAATCACAGAGACCCACCTGCTTCTGCTTCCTAAATGCTGGGATTAAAGGCGTGTGCCACCACACCCAGAGGGATATTTCTTCTGTTATTTCTTTGGTATGCCTTTTCCTTTTAGATCCTGTCAAGGCTGAGTGATACAGACCATGTGCATTTGAACTCCATATCCTGGCACTCTTTTCTCAACTTGTCACTGACTTTTTGCTAATTCTCTTATTATTATTATTTTAAGTATTTTATTTATTATTTTTACTTTATGCGTATGAGTGTTTTGCCTGCCTCACAGAAATGCATCATATGAATGTAATGCCTGCAGAGGTCAGAAGAGGGCGTCAGAGCCCCTGGAACTGGAGTTATGGACAATTGTTAGCCACCATCTGGGTGCTGGGAATAGGACCTGGGTTCTCTGCAAGAGCTGTGCATGCTCTTAACTGCTGACCCATCTCTCCACTACTTTTTTCCTAATTCTTAAACTTTATCTTCTAAATCAATAATTGTGTTTTAAAATCTTTATTTTTATTTTATGTGTCTGAGTGTTACACCTGTAAGTGTATAAATGTGCCTGTGTCGTGCAGTGACCATGGAGGACAGAAGAGGGCATTGGATCCCCTGGAACTGGAGCTACGAATGGTTGTTAGCTGCCATGTGGGTGCTGGGATTCGAACCCGGGTCTTCTGCAAGAACAACCAGTGTTCTTAAATGCTGAGCCATCTCTCCAGCCCCCTTTACTCAGTTTTCTAATAACTTACACTTATTTCATGCCTGGAAAACTTTCTCAATTTTTTCCAAAGATTTTATTAGAAAATGTTTTGGGATTTTCTTTTTTTCATGAGACAAGATCTCACACCTTCAAGCCCAGGCTGGCCTACAATTCACTACACAGGCCATGCTGACCTGGAGCTCTTGGCAATCCTCTTGCTTCAGCCTCCCAAATGCTGAGGTTACAGGTTTGCTCCACCATATGTGGCTAGAAAGTTTTAACAGTAAACATCCACAACTGTTTCTCTACTCACACCTCTCCCTACCAAAGGTCTCTACTTTCCCCAGAGGTCTATGGACTGGAGAGAAAACTAATAGCTACAGCTAGGGCTGTTCCTAGCCACCTTTTTGAATAAATCACCTGAGCAAACTAAGATTCAGTTTTGTCTTCGCATTTTTCTCTACTATCATTTCCCTTTCTTTGTCCTTACAAGTAACCAAACATTATCTCTTATGAGATTGCTGTAAGGCCTGGGGAGAAAAGGGAGGTACAGATATAGCCACTGAGTCTTTCATCTTAAACCAGAAGTCTGTCTGCCCCATTTTAAGTTTGTTCCGTTTCAGGAAAGAGGTCCTGTAGATCAGGGGGAGTCATTTATTTCCAGTTCAACTCTCTTCTTTTTTGAGTCAGGGTTTCACTATGTAGCCTAGGATGGTTTCCAACTCACTGTATAGCACAGGCAGGTCAGATACTTGGTGTGGACCTAAGCTGGATGTGAATTCATGTTTCTCCTGCCTTCGCCTCCTTAGTGCTGTGGTCATGATGTGCATCACCATGCTTACTTGGTTTTTCTGATACACCAAAACCCTTTTTGTTGTTGTTGCTGAATAATCTGTGATGATGCTGAGCTAGGATGAATCCTGGGTAACTTCCTAGTCTAATTCTTTGGATTGTGCTTACTTTCATTCTTCATAGTTTCTGTTCTCTGAAATAAAAAGTAGAAACTCCAAAGTCACTAAACTTAGCTCCAGATGGGACTTGGAAGCTCACTTACATAGCTCAGTGGTAGAGCACTTGCCTAGCAAGCGCAAGGCCCTGGGTTCGGTCCTCAGCTCCGAAAAATAAAAAATAAATTTCTTATCATGTTACCATTTTGTCCTGCCATGAACTTTTTTCAATATTGTCTCTATCCTTTCCAAGCTCTGAGAGCAATGTGTACTGTAGTTTACAATTTAGACAAAGTTAATGTGGCTTTTTAAAAAAATCCTGGGAAGTTCTATTTCAGTTAATAGCAAATAACATAGTTTGGACTAGCCTTTCTGTTAAGAACAATTAGAAAAGCTAGACAACAAGAAGCGAAACAAGGCAAAATGTTTTTCCTGATGGCTTTAGAAAGTGATGACGGCAGTGAAGAGGAAACCAAAGAAGTGAACCTCAGCTCCCCTCTAGGCACCTGAGAAGCTAAGCAAAGCATCTGGAAGTCTTAGAAAGATTGGATAAAACTGACGGAAATTGGAGTTGAGGACCAAGTGAGGAAGATGTGAACACCCTGGAGTTTAGGTTGGGACCCTAAACATAAAAAGGCAAAGAGAAAACAGACTAACCCTCACAAGAACTCAATGCCAGCTTCAAATCACCTTTATCAATGATTGGGTGCAGCTGATCTGGAATTGCTATCAACCCACTCTAGCTGTACAGTAGACCTAAGCTTAAATCTTTAAATCACCTCTGAAGAATTTCAAATTATCTCTAGATGTTGTCATTACCCATGTTTGTCCCAAAAAACAAAAACATATGCACAGAAGGTAAAGAATCAGGCTTCTAAAGTAACTTAGGAAACTAGCTTTATGACTGTGGGATAGGCAAATATTTCTGAAACAGGACACAGAAGAGGCTAACAAGAAGATCAAATAATCAGATTAAGACCATCTGCTCATCAAAAACATTCATTTAAAAGGTAAAATAGGGGCTGGAGAGATGGCTCAGTGATTAAGAACATTGGCTGTTCTGGCAGAAGACCCGGGTTCCAATCCTAGCACCCACATGGCAACTAACAATTGTCCATAACTTCAGTTCCAGGGGATCCAATAGCCTCTTCTGTCCTCTTGCAGGCATTGCACGACATGGATGCACTTACCAACATACAGGCAGTTACACACATACACATAAAACAAAAATAATAAATAAAATATTAAAAGGAAAAATAGGCAAGGTACAAAAAGAAGAGATTTTTATCAAATGTAATTAGCAAAAGACTCATTCAGAATACATAAAGAACCCTTAGCAATTAGTGAGAAAAATGCAGACAACTCCTTAGACAAGTGGGCAAGAAATGTAGACAGGGATTTTATAAGGGAATACAGCCAATGGCCAGTAAATATGTTTAAGAATTCTCAATTCTGTTAGCTTTCACAGAAATATAAATTGAGGCAACAATAAAATATAAAATTTAAAAGACTTGACAATGCCAACTGTTAGTAAACATGTGAAATAACTGGAACTCTCAGACATTAGAGGTGAGTATAAAATAGTATCACCATCTTGAAGGACTGTTTGGCACTATCTGCTAAAGTTGAACCTACACATGTTCTATGCTCTAGCAGTTTTCCTCCTATGTACAGTCCCAATAAAAAAAATACATATAATACATCAAATGCATGTGTAAGAAGATTCATAGCAGTTGTTTTTCAAGTGGGGGACAATCCAATGTTCATCAATAATCTAGTGATAAACTGTGGTATATTCATTCAATGAAATACTATGCAGCAATAAGAGAACAAATTAACTAGAGCTACACACAACATGGATGAATCATACAAATAAACCAGACACTAAAATAGGTATATACTGTAGAAACTCATATATACAAAATTGAAAAAACAGGTAAAACTGCTAAATGTTGCTAGAATTCAAAAGAGTGGCTGTGGTTACACTTGAGGAGGATAAGTAATAATTCTTTCTTCCAATTTTTGTGTCTCTTGACTGGTTTGGTGTTAAATGAGTGTTTATTTTGAAACAGGGTCTTATGTATTTCAGGCTGGCCTTGAACTCACAGAGATCCATGCCCTTCAGACATGGCCACAGGCCAGTCCAATAGAGGCAATTCCCCGATTGAGGCTCCCTCAGCCCAGGTGTGTCAAGTTGACACTAAAGCTTTATGTGTATGAGTGCATTGCCTGCATGTATGTAAGTGCACCTCTGTCATGCAGTGCCCACAGAGGTCAGAAGAGAGTGTCAGATCCCCTGGAACTGGAGTTACAGACGGTTGTTAGCCCATCTAACATGTGGGTGCTGGGAATTGAATCTAGATCCTCTGCAAGAGCAGTCAGTGCTCTTAACCACTGAGCCATCTCTCCAGCCCCTGGCCTTGAACTCTTTATATAGCCCAGATTAGGCCTCAACTCCTGGCCCTCTTTCCTCTACTTCCTGAGTGCTGGGATTACAGGCATGTGCTACCACACTTGACTTTTTTTGTCCTCAAATGCAATGTAACTTTTTTTGTTTTTATTGAATTTTTGTGGATTTCATACAATATATCTTAATCATATTTAGCCCCCTGTTTTCTATCTGCACCCCCCAGAGCCCACCCACAGGACTTCATGCATTTTGCCATATGTGTTAAGGCCTACCCCAATGTCCCTCAGTGTGAGTTCATCCACTGGAGTCTGTACAGTCTGTGTAGGGTCAGTCCCTTAAAGATCAACTCTCCCTTACCCAGTAGTGATCAGCTACCAATAGTTCCTCACCAAAGATGTGGCTTGCTGCCTATTTTCCCAGTTTTAAGCCAGTCTTTGTCTGACTAAGTTTGCAAGGGTCTTGTGCATGCTGACACCATTGGTCTAAGTTCATATGAGCAAGTTCCCAGGAACTTGTAAGACTGTTTCCTATGGCCATTCACCTCCTCCCCTAACTCTTACAATCTTTCTGCCCCTCTTCTACAATGACCCCCAAGTCCTGGGCCACACCCATCTTTTAATGTGTGTGTTGACTGTGTGATAACTTGCAGTTTATGACTTGTGTGCTTTTCTGTATATCTCTTATAATTTAGTAGATTACTTTAACATTATTAGTGTCTCCAACAAAACATCTAAAACAAACCATCTGCCCATTTGATCACTATGCCAAATTAGAATCATGAAGGTTTAACTTTTTTTGCTTTTAATTTAAATAGAGTCTGCCCTGAATGTGGACCTATGATGCCAGTATAAGATTAGATATATTTGGCCAGGTTTAACCAATAGGAATTATCGTTACCACAAAGATTAACTGCCCAGGTCTCCCTTCCCTTTCCCACCACAGAGCAGGTCATTCTATACTTTTAACTAGTTTACCTACAAAGCTCTTGAGAGCCACGTGTCTACCACGCTATGGGTTGGCTGCTCTAGTGATATGTCAAAATTCCTCTTGACCAGAGAAACGCTCGCCAGGATTCCCTGTGGCTGAATGATCAATGCATATGTCCCAAGAGAGGACTGGGTATGCGTGTCCCAAGTGTACCTTTCCTTACTCTTCAGGAATTATCCACTGACAATTCAATGAATGGATCCCATTATCAATGTCTTCCTGAACCCAGGGAATGGCTCTTAAAAGGATACTTGTGGTCAAAGCTGTACCACAGTCTGAATATCCACGCACTTTCCTGCTTTGTCCGGCTTCCTCCAACAGAATCTGGGCCATCCTAGGAACAAAGAAGAGGGTACTGATTAGAGAAAAAGGACAGGAGAGAAGGGAGAAAGGCTAGTTTTGAAACTGTAACTGTTTTGTTTTTGCAGTGCTGGGGATTGAACCCAGGGCCTTGCAAGTGCTCTTAACACAACTATATCCCTAGGCCACAAACTATAACTTCTATAGAGCTAGAGATTGCTGTGAAACACCACATATCACCAAAGTGTCGAAGATGTAGCTCAATGGTAGAGTACTTGCTTAGTATGCACAAGACCTTGAGTTCAATACCCATAGCCACACACAAAAAACAAATACATTGAGAAGTAACACTTTAGTAGAAATCAAGCAAACACAAAACACAAAACAATCCAAAACAATTTCCAAAGTAGGGGACTGGAGAGATAGCTCAGTAGTCAAGAGTACTAGCTGCAGGGCTGGAGAAATTGCTCAGCAGTTAAGAGCACCGACTACTCTTGCAGAAGACCCTGGTTCGATTCCCAGCACCACATGGCAGCTAACAACTGTCTGTAACTCTAATTCAAGGAGATCTGACACCCCCTTCTGACCTCCGCAGGCATTGCATGACACAGGTGCACTTACACACAGGCAATACATTCATACACATAAAATAAAAATAATAAATAAAATTAAAAAAGAGAGCACCGGTTGCTCTTGTAGAGGACCTGGGTTCGATTCCCAGAACCCACATGATGGCTAGCTAATAGCCATCTGTACTCTAGTTCCAGGGGATCTGACACCCTCTTCTGACGTAGGGGGGCACTGTACAACATGGGTGCACCTACCTAAGCACAGGCTTTACACTCATACACATAAAATAAAAATTAAAAACAAAACAATTTCCAAAGTGTAGTTCAGGTATGCTTGCACATAGATCAAGCCAGTATTAGCACATTTCTTTTGGCATTTTATTACAGTTTTCCTAAAAGTATCTTTCAGGAGCTTAATTATCCTAAAATAGTCTAAATCCTTTAGGCCAAAATTGTCTATGGACAATAGTAAAGAAAGCTTGTATAAAACCACCTTTCCAGGTTCCACCCAAATCGGCCTGGACAGAACAAACCAGCCTAAGAGCTCTCTGCAGTCCTAAGCCCAGGTGGTCCTAAGCCCAGGTGCTGCATGATACAATTACATGTCTCTCTACCAGCTTTAGGAACATGGGGCCAGTGGCCAGGGAAACAAAGTCAAACTAGCAATTCTGATATTTTTATCTACTCTGAAGCAGCAGGTCCTTTGCCATTCCTTTCAAGATATTCCATCTCAAACATCTGCATTATTTAATTTTCAAAACCTGCACGATTAGATATTCATTTGAGGTTTAAGAAATCTGCTCAGCACAAGTAGTATAAGCAGCATAATTAACTTTTATGTTAATTATGTTATGTTACTTTTAAAAATTATGTTATTTTATGTTAATTATGTTATGAATGACTTTGGACTACTGGGTGTATATGTTGCCAGACTACAAGCTCTCAAAGTACACATAGCTGGTAAAGTGATTTTAATATTCTCTTTAATATAATATGGAGAGGCAGGTCTACAAATGATGGACAACTGGTAATGTTAAAGTCCAGCCTCCAGCCAGCAGCTTGCAAGCTGGTGGCTTCCTCACTACCGAGCTGAGAGCCACCCTGTGTGATCTTCCAAATAAACCCTGCTCTGCCAGAGTTCTTGTCTGTGTCTCGGTTTTTACCCATCGTATGGTGCCAAAACCCAGGACACTGCCGTTGGAGATTTCACGTAAAGAACTCTGACTGGACCAGCTGCTGCTACTACCCCCCCTCCACGACCACTGATTTGGCTTTAAGGTACATCCTGACTCTCTGTCTCTCTCACTCTCAAACCCTTTCTCCTCTCTCTCCCTTCTCAACTTCTCTGTTTTCTTCCTTTTGATTTGACTCAGCAGTCACTCCTGGACCAAAACTCAAGGCCACTAGGCAGCACTAGTCTCTGCAACTGTTGAGCATTTGGCATGGTTACTGTGTCTGCCTAAGCCCACCTGAGGGATAGACCTTCCCCTCCATCACTCTCAAACCCTTTCTCTTAGAATCTCCCAATCCGTGACTAGTTCTCCTAAAGGAGCACAGACGTCTCCCAGCCTGCTAAAAGGTTTACACAGAACAGTAATATGACCTCAAGACAACTGGCCTGCACCCCCTGTGTAGGTAGTAGGCTGCTAAGGTCTCTGGGACCCCCGATTGTAATGGGCAGCAGGAAAACCTGTTGCTCAGAGTCTCTCTTTTCCTCGTTCTACTCATGCTCTCTGGAACTCGGAGAGGAGGCCAACCCCACAAAGGCACAGGCTTGACCTGAGTCATGTCCAAAGGCTGGTCCTAAGACTGGGTAAAACAGGAAAGGCAGACACTGGAAGTTTCCACTCTCCTCCTTTTTCCTCTCACAGCGTCTCACTAGGCCTCAGTCATTCATTCCCATCCCCCAACCACTCAACGCCCCCACCCCGCCCCCAAGAGAAGGCCAACCCCACAAAGGCAGGGGCTTGACCTGAGGCATGTCCAAGGTTGGTCCTAAGACCGGGTAAAACAGGTAAGGCAGATTCTGGAAATTTTCACTCTCCTCCTTTTCCTTTCACAGCCTCTCACTAAGCCTCACGTTCTCTTTCTCCCTCTCTTTCCTTGCTCCCCACACTTCCCCTTCACTTTTGCTTTTTCACGCTCTGCTATACGGAGCTTTTCTCTCTTGCTCCCACCCTCCTCCGGCTCCTCTTCTCTCAGCTTCCACTGGTTCTCAGCCTCCTCTTCTCTCAGCTTCCACTGGTTCTCAGCCTCCCCACGTCCCATAAACCCCACGTTCGATTTCCTAGTCCGCCGCCCGGGTGTACCACACTCTCGCTCCCAGGCTTTCTGCTTGAGTTGTAAAACCGTATGGTGTGTCAGAAAGCTCCTTCATTTTCTGGTTATGGGACACCATTTCCAGAGACAGAAACATGCCCGCCTTCCTGTCTGAGACAGGAATGTGCTCTTTCCCCTCTCTGATGATTGCAGGATGCTGTCTCCTGGGGCAGTGAACACGTTTTGGCCTTTGCCAATAAGGGACGCCTTTCTTGACATTGGTTCCACACACTCTCGCCTGGCACTGTCTCTTCTCCTTCTCCTCCCTCCCGCCTTTCTTTTCCTTGTGTCCCTCACTTTTCTGCCTGGAATCTTAGCCACTATCCCAGACTCCACTCCCAGTGAGGAGAGAGTTCTTATTATCTCCTCCTACGTGCTTGCTCAATTCCTTCTCTATGTTCTTGTGCTATATACATAATCTGTCACTATGGAAACCATTCAGTCTAAACCTGAGGGTCTCACACCTCTTGCTTGTCTTCTCAAATCCCTAAAGCAACTAGGACTTACAGTTACAATTAGACCAAAATGCCTAAAATTTTTGTGCATTACTGCCTCACCACAGTATAAGTTGGACAATGACTCTGGTCAGACACAGGAACCCTAGACTTCAACATTTTAAGAGATTTGGATAATTTCGACCAGTGCAGTAGCAAAAGATCCGAGCTCCCCTATGTCCAAGCCTTCTTTGATCCTCTAGCTAATCTCTCCCTCTACACTTCTTGTTCCCCGCATCAAGTCCTCCTCACAAAAACTATTCCACATAAACTCAACCTGTCTACCCCTAACCCCCTGGAGTCTTCCACTCCCCCTCCATACTCCTCTACCTCAGCCTTTGATCCCAACATAGCATACAAGCATCCCCCAATTATGACTCAACCTCAACCTTCTCCTTCCCTTCAACCCAAGGCACAGAGGGCTCCTCTCCCCACTCAACCTTCACCATATCCCCCTTTGCCTCCACTCCCTGAACCTGACCCAGTTCACCTCCCTTTTCCACCTCAAACCCCCTCATCCCAGTCTCCCCCTTCTCCTCCACCCCATCGCCCCAAGCCATACACTCCTTGCCTCGCTGACAGCTCTAGCCTGCTCGAACACAGTCCAGGCCTCAAACAGCTTCTTGATCTCAAGCAGCTTCTCGACAAACACCCTCTACTCTCCCCCATTTCACCCTCTACTACCAATAATCCATTTGTCTCTCCTACGTCCACTCCTACTCCCACCTCAACCTCAGGGCTTGCCTCCTGCCCTCCCATGCTCCCATGTGGACAGGACACCCCTCCTAATTCTCCGACTCCCCAGGCTCCCTTGGCCTTCCCCTCTCTTCCCTCTCCATCCCCCATATTTTCCATACCCGCTCCTGTGCCTAGTCTCAGCCCCTTACCATGCGTGGCATCTTCCCCCTTAGGGAAGTAGCAGGGGTAGAAGCAGTTGTTAAAGTCCATGTCCCTTTCTCCCTTGGCAACCTATCCCAGCTCGAGTGCAGAATAGGCTCTTTCTCTACTGACCCCACACACTTCATACAAAAATTCCAATACATCACTGGTAGCCATGACCTAACCTGGCATGACATCTTTATGATTCTCCAGTCCACCCTCACCCCCAATGAGAGACACAGGGTCTGGATGGCAGCTCAAGAGTTTGCTAATGAGCTCCACTCTACCAACCTGACCCATCCTATTGGGATGGAGGCAGTTCCCCTACAGGACCCCCCCCCCATCAGGAAGGGCCTTCCCCAGGTAGGGCAGAAAGGGACCACATGATCACTTGTCTCCTGATGGGTCTTCAGAGAGCTTTGCCTCTTAAGGTAGTTAGTTTAATTGTCCAGGGTCCTACTGAAACCCCAGCTCAGTTTAGGGACAGACTTATTGATGCCCTAGCTCAGTATACCAAGTATGACCCAGAGTCCAGAGAGGGAGGACTTATGCTCAACCACCATTTTATCTTATAATCGGCCCAAGACATTAAAAAGAAACTTAGACACCTAGACAAAGGTCCTGAAACCCCCACTGGAGGGAGAGCTGTTAAACCTGGCATTTAAAGTCTTCAATAACTGGGAGGCACAGGAGAGGGCAGACAAACTCACCCTGTCCAAACAAAAGTATCAGCTGATGGCTGCAGTCCTAAGGGCTCCTCCAAAGAAGATGAC